GGAGGTGGGGGCGCTGACCCTTGGCTGGAGACGCTGCTCGGGCGCCGTTTGCTGTTGGACGCGCGGGTCTTCGGCCTCGCCTGCACGTCGGGAAAGAGCTTCCCTGGGGGTCGCGGCCTTGACGGTGGTGGGGGCGTGGGTCCGCGTCTGCACGGGTCAGCGGTCGAAGGTGTGGACCTTATCTTTCTTTATGTAAGCTTCTTCCCTTCCTAAAGAGCGGCCCCAGGCGTTTCTTGGTTGTCTTTGTTTTAGATTTGGGTCGAGGCGGCCCCCTTGCAAAGTGTTCCTTGGATGAGCAGGTCCGTCTGCGTGCACGCCCTTGTTCGGGCAGGGCAGAAATTGGGACCCGCAGAATTGACAAACACGCCTTCCTAATAAAGCATTCCGATCGATACATCCACCTTGGACTCTGTGGAACTCTCCGTGTTAACTCTGTGGAACCCTCAGATTAAGTGGAGAAAGCAAATTTGGCTTTTTTTTTTTTCGCATTTGGATGTGGTACTCACACGTGTTTTCCCATAACCTACTGTAAACCCTTCCTAGCTGGTCCTCCCTGCTGAGTTGAACTTCCCGAGCTGGGCCCTGGACACCCGGCACCCTGGTCAGGTTATAACAGGACTTCCCAATGAATAATGTCCAAAGAGGGTTTCCAGATTCTTGCCAGTTTCCATGGATTACAGGGCGGATCTTGTCAGGAGGATGTTCTGGGCCTAGAAAAAGAAATCAAAGATGTTTTTCTGTTGATAATTCGGCAATGAAGCTTTGGTTGTTGAAAAAATGTGAGGTTTATGATGATGGGCAGGCGGGAAGGTGTTTTATACCATCAACACAAAGTCATATGCTGAGAAGTATTAATAGCTGTTTCTCTGTTGTTTAAAGGCACTACAGATCTAGTGATAGCATATAACTTAACTTGGAAATCAACTAATTTCAAGACACTTTTGGAGTGGGAGCCCAGACCCATCAATCATGTCTACACTGTTCAGATAAGGTAAGCTGGTGCAAAAAAGTGTTACAGGTCTTGACGTTTCTGCCCTCTGTGCTGAACATGCGTCTTCAAAGCTGCTTACTGGATGAGATTATTTAACAGATGACAAAGAAAAGGGCAATTTGCTGGCCAGCACCACATTCTCCCAAGCCTGCCACATTTCCATACGTTAGACTGTTAGGACATCTGACTTGTTTTTGGAGATGGTGGGAGAATTCTTAAGTGGAGCGAGCGTGAGCTGTGGAGACTGAGGCTTCTTGAGTGGCACTGGAGTGCTTCTGGGTCATGATGGATTAGATACTCTCACCTAAACACTGCTGTTTTTTTTTTTTTTCTTTTGCTGTCTAGACTGAGCCGCTCAACATGTTCGGGAGAGGTGGGGAGGAGTTCCAATGGTATACATTGCCCTCAAGCAGTGGTTGATTCATTAATCTTTGGACTCTGTGAATCAAAATTTGGTAGCACATGAACTCAGCAGAGGAGGCTGAATCCGTGAGTCACTGGGCTGCGCAGAATACCCCGCTGTCTGGGGCTGCTCGGAGGCTGGCACCTCTTCTTGGACTGATGGCTGTCTCCAGGAGCTAGTCTTTTGGCATGTTCAGTCAGAAGGTTGTGTCTTGTTGGATAGTTTTTGACAATTTTTTAGTTTTAGTTTTTTAGTTCGGGAGACCGGGTAGAGCTCTTAAGACGTAGAGGATGCTACCATGAAAGCTGCTTTCATGCTCATTGCAGAAAGGCACGGAAGCGTCAGCAGCTGAAATGAAAGGCGTCTTGCTGCTTTGTTTTGTTGAACTTTTGTCAAGCCTTTCTAGCAGTAGGAATGCAACTCTCAGGCATGGGGTGGGTCTTTCAGGGGGGTGTTCTTGTTTTTCACGAACTTCATGGTGGCTGTTGCCGCACCAACAGGGAGGGTAGTGGGTATGCTCGGTTCATGTGCGAGTAGATACAGAGAGAGATCGAGGAATGTCAAAACCCGAGTCATGACTCCAACTATAGTCAAACTTGTCGACTCAGATTCCACTAGCTGGTGTGTGATTTCTCAGATACAAACCTGAAGCTTCCCTTAGTAAATGCTTTCCTTCCATACAGTGAAAATGAGATTTTGGGATTGCCTCCTCCGTACCTTTAAGGGGTATGTGGGAATATGTTACTGATTCACCTGATCTCGAAACATAAATCTTTGTCAACTCTAAGTTCTCAGGCTTTATAAGGCTGTGGTTATTTAGGCGAGCACAGCCCCTGATTATTTGGGTGAGCTCAGCCCCTGATCTGCAGATGTCAGAGCACAGGGACGGAGTACAGGGACACAACCTGCTGGGATGCCCAAGACTTCCGGTGTTCCTCCACCAGGACATTCTTCCGGCTCTTGCTGTGCTGGGGGCCTGAGCCCTGCACTCGTCTCCCACCTTCCCGCAGGACTGGACAGGCTTCCTGCGAAAAGACCAGAGCAGTCATTGGCAGATGAGGAAACTTGCTCTGGGAAGTGAGGGATTAATTTGTTGCTGCCCTGAGGTGGTATCTGCACCTGGCCTGAAGCCCAGAGCTCCCCGGTTTGGCTCACTGCTGTCTCTCAGGTGTCTCTTGCTGTCTGGTGGGAGACCCCAAGGCTGGGAGGAGGATGGCAAGCCTTGCCCACCACATCTCCTCGGCAGGCCCCTTCCCTCCTTCCTGTCGTGTGTCCCTAGGCGAGAAGCTTCTGGAGCCACGCCCCCTGCAGCGAAGCGAAACGCTCACTTTCCACAGGACAAGCTAGAGTGACACTGAACCTAGGAATTGTCTGGGTCATTTAGAAGATCTTTGTTTTCAGTAGAAGCCCTCTAAATCCTTTTTTCCCTTCAGTGTCTTATCAAAGAAAGAGCTGTCTTTAGCCTTTGTTCTCAGATTTGTTAATAGGTACTGCCTGCGTCATTACTCTGTAGTCTTCAGTGAGGTAGATGGATTCATGTCTTGCAAAAGTGAGGGAGGCCTGGAGTCTAACGAGGCAGACAGACCCAGCTCTGCCACTCGTTACCTGTGACCCTCAACAAGTAACCAGTGTCTCTGAGCTTTAATGTCCTCACGTGTAAAAAAACAAAACAAAACACTATCTTAGAAGGATTACATCAATATGAACTAACATGTGTGAAGAGCCCAGTACAGTGCCTGGCCTACGAAGAACTAGTAGATCACTAACAACCACATTGATAATGGTCATGATGAATACAGTATGTGTACAACAGATTATCATATAGAATTTATTACTCTACAGACTGTATTCTGCTTAGAATGTAGAATGTGATATGGCAAACAGAATGTAATACAATATAACACGTAGACTACCCTAAACAGTCGGATTGTTCTTTGTCCCGTATGACCATGACAACGCACCCACATTCCAAGAAAGATATTGAACAAAATGGTCAAGAGCACAGACTCAGGAGCCTAGTGGATGTCTAGTTCAGAGTCGACTGTGTGATTCTGAGCAAGTCGCCAATCTCACTTTGTCTCGGTAGAAACAAGGCTTCACAGTGTACGCCCCTGGGCTGCTCAGGGAACTCGAATGTGCATCTCCACACCCAGCATTGGAAGAGCCTGTCAGTATGGCTGGGGCTCTCAATGCAGAACACGGCCAGGGTGCACGGTCCATCTCTGGGTGCAAACGATGACGTTCCGTGTCCTTTTCTCCCTCTTTCTCTTCTTCAGCTCTAGATTGGGAGACTGGAAGACCAAATGTTTCTACATAGCAGACACGGAGTGTGACCTTACCGAGGAGACTGTGAGGGATGTGAGGCAGACATATACGGCGCGGGTCCTCTCCTACCCTGCCCCAGACGCAGGCACCACGGGTTCTGAGGAGGCTCCCTTCCAGAACTCCCCAGAGTTCACGCCTTACCTGGAGAGTGAGTACTCAGTTTGAAAGCCTGTCATTTCTGCTGTTATACACTCTGAATGTTCTTGTGCCTTAGAAACCATGACATGAAAAGTATTTATCCATAAACACATCATCTTTCTCAGAAATGGCAAGTGCCACCACCCTTCACATATTCCAGATGTGGTGGGAGTTCACAGAATGTGGACTTGAGGGTTGGTCAGTCTGTCCCCAGATCCTACCGTAACCAGGTGAACGTGCTGGGGGGCAGTGGGGCAGGGATAGGAAACTCGCCAAGGCTGGGGTTTGCGTTTTTCCCTCTCTGTATCGTATTTCATGAATTTTCTGTCCCATCATCAGACAAGAAAATCCCGGCTTAGGATTTTTCACAAATGGTCACAAAGCTACAGAGAAAGTTCACAGTTTCCCCAGAGCACATGACTAGGCTTTGCTGGTCCTTGCCAATTGGTGGGCCCTGACTTGTGTCCCATGATGTGTCAGCACCTGCCCAGCCCTTGGCCCGCCTCCCTCATGCCTATGTTGGGAATGTGGGATTCCTTCCTCCTCAGCTTTGCCCTGAGCTGACCCTGGTATCTAATATGGTAAGGCGGCATGGTGCTGTCAAGTAAGAGATTTAAATTTTCCTGTCACGGTGATGGCTCTGAGTTGAGTATTTTAGATAAGCACATGTAGCACATTGAGAAGGGTGACATCAGGCCTGCTGGCTAGAATGCAAGTGTTGTGCTGTTGGTGTTTTTGTTTATCCCCAACAGCCTAGTGAGAGACAGTTTCTTGACGTAGGAATGCTGGAGAGAAAGCATGGATGGACAATCGGTCAGCCACTCTCCTCCAGTGTCTCCTTTGAAGGTCGAAATAGGGGGCCTTACTCCAGGTGGATATGGCTGCCTTCCAGGGCTCTCATTTGGAAGAGCCTGTCTTCAGACCTTCCAGTGCTTCTACTTTTATGTCTCTTACGGCCCTAGGCTGGAGTACAGGTGCATAACAGCCCCCCGTCCCCCCAGTGACTGTGCAGAATCACTGATACTCATGCTCCCTCAGCTGGTGACAGCCCATGGTTTCCTCTTTGAGTTCTTGAGATTTTTGTAAGCTACTTCAGATCCTCTGTTGATGCAAGACAGAAAATATCGTATATGTTTATTTTGCGTGTGCAGCACTTTGCCTTGTGACTTGATAGAGTTGATGTTAGTTTTACTGCCATTTAACCAAAGCACACAGGATAATTGAGCCACTACAGAGATCTGGTGGTTAAAATTGGTTCCTTGAGGTTCCACTTCCTGGGTTTTCTTGCAGACCTGAATTTTTTATACCTAAAATATGGAATCTTACACGACTGTACTGTTCAATATGGTTGCCACAGACCACATGTGGCTATTGACCGCTTGAAAGATGGCTATTGATATAAGTGTAAAATACATACTGCATTTCAAAAGATGTAAACGATTTTAATGTTCTTATTGATCACATGTTAAAGGGATAATATTCCACATGGATACAGCTGACCCTTGAACAATGTAGGGGTTAGAGGTACTGACCATGCAGTCAAAAATCCAGTACAGCTTTTGATGCCTCAAAAACTTAACCACTGGTTGAGCACAGTGGCTCACGCTTATTATCCCAGCACTTTGGGAGGTGGAGGCGAGAGGACTGCCTGAGCCCAGAGGTTCAAGACCAGCCTGGGCTACTTGGTGAAACCTCATCTCTATAATAAATCAAAAATATTAACTGGGTGTGGTGGTACACGCCTATGGTTCCAGCTACTTGGAAGGCTGAGGTGGAAGGAGCCTGAGTCCAACAGGTCAAGGCTGCTGTGGCTGTGAGCGTGCCACTGCACTCCAGCCTGGGCGACAGAGTGAGACTCTGACTCAAAAAAAAAAAACATAACCACTAATAGCCTACTGTTGACTAGACGCCTTGCCAATAACCTAAATTGTTGGTTAATACTATTTTGTATGTTATATGTATATCATATGCTGCATTCCTACAATAAAGTCAACTAAGGCAAAGAAAATGTTATTAAGAAAATCATCAAGAACAGACTGGGCAACTTGGCAAGACCTCATCTCGACAATAAATAAAAAAAGTTAGCTGGGTGTGGTAGCTTGTGCCTTTAGTTCCGGCTGCTTGGAAGACTGAGGTAGAAGGATCTCCTGAGCCCTACAGATCGATGCTGGGGTGGCTATGAGTGTGCCGTTGCACTACCGCCTGGGCAAAGGAGTAAGACTCCAACTCAAAAAAAAAAGAAAAAGAAAATCATAAGGAAGAGAAATACGTTTACTATTCATTAAGTGAGAGTGGGTCACCTTAAATGTCTCCGTTGTCATCATCGTGAGGCTGAGGAGAAGGGCGAGGAGGTTCCTGGCTGTCTGGGGGGAGGCAGACGTGGGAGAGCTGGGGAGGTAGATGGAGGCCGGAGGTGGGAGAGGCGCGCATCGCCAATATAACCGTTACGGAAAGAAATTTGCACGTACGTGGACTTGTGCAATTTGCGCCCGTGTTGTTCAAGGTCAACTGTATGGTTAAATAAAATATATTTTAAAATTAATTTCACTTTTTTTTTTTTTTTTTTTTTGCTTTTTCTAACGTTACACCAAGGAAGTTAAAAATGATATCTGCGGCTCTGGCGTAGTCCTGCTGGGCAGCACTGCTGTAGGGTGTCTGGGGTTCAGCTCTGGGTCCCAAGCCTATTGCTGTCAGGGTGTGGGTCCGTGCATGCATTTTCGATGAAGATACTAAGTGTTAACTTGATAACTCAGTGGGGCTCTGTTTTGTTCAGCCTTCTTTGGTTCTAGCCAAGTTCATTCCCTTTGTTTCAGCAAACCTCGGACAGCCAGCAATTCAGAGTTTTGAACAAGCTGGGACAAAACTGAATGTGACTGTCCAGGACCCACGGACCTTAGTCAGAGCGAACGGTACCTTCCTAAGCCTCCGTGATGTTTTTGGCAAGGAATTAAGTTACACACTTTATTACTGGAAAGCGTCAAGCACAGGAAAGGTGAGAATGTTTTCATGTGTTCTCATGACTTGTTTGAAACTGGACGCTTGATTTTATAGTGTGTTTCTTCCCCAGTTCAAAAGCAGCAGAACAGGGTTGTTGGAAAGGTGGTGTGGTGGAGTAGGAGGTGGGCAGAGGCAGGGTGTGGGGGAGGGCAAGAGGTCTGAGTCCTGCCTGGGACTCTGCCAGCAACTCTGGTCAGGGCCCCTCGGAGACCCAGGTCCTCAGACAAGGGGCTGGACCAGACTCTTTCCCCAGTGTCCCAGCAGCTTGAGTACTTCTCCCTGCGAGGACCCAAAGACACAATGTGTATCTAGCCAATTACTCCTGCCAGCCTTGGTTTCTTTTTTGGTGATGTCTTTTAAAGGGGCTAAACTGAGTTGGATGTGCCTACATTGGATCTTTTCCGTCTTGGAAAGGGCATTTTTAGCAGTGATTGCGAGAGCTGTGTAGCCAAGTTTCTTCTGATCCTTGTAGGCTTTGTTTAGAGCCTAGGTTTTACTTCCACGATGACTTCATAAAGGGGAAAGAATCCTCTCTGAGCCCAGATGAATTAAGAACTCTGTCTTTTCACAGAGAACAGCCAAGACAAATACTAACGAGTTTTTGATTGATGTGGACAAAGGAGAAAACTACTGTTTCAATGTCCAAGCAGTGATTCCATCCCGAAAAGTGAACCAGAAGAGTGCAGAAAGCCTCATTGAGTGCACCAGCAAAAGAAAAAGTGACTTCCGAGGTAGGTGGCCCTGTCATCCTCTGGAGGCATGGGTGTCTTCTAGAGGGCTGCTTCGCCCTCATATCTGGAATAGTGGAATAGTCTTCTCTTGTTAAATATTCAGGGAGCACCCTCCCTGGGGTTTTGGTTTTTGCTTTTGCTTTTGGCACTCTTAAGATCTGGGGCATTTAGACATGCTGCTGTGTTGTTCCTTTGTGTTAGCAAGGATTTTCTTGAGAACCTGCTGTGTGCTAAGCTCTCTGCTGAGCACCAGATGCACAAATTATGTGTAGGACTTAGTATGAAGTCACAGATTTCTCTGGGCAGTTTTTTCCTGCTTAAATTCTGATCCTGAGGGGTGGCTTCTGGACCGAAAGACATTTGTGAATACCCAGTGTGGGCTGTTGCCACAGAGGCAATGAAGTCTCACCCATGAAGGGGAGGGACTGAGTATATGAAATCTACCTAGTGTGTGCAGATGACCGACACATGTGCACACATTGGGAGCGCAGCCATGCTGTGTGGGGGCGGGTGGGGGCCTCACTAGGAGTGCTGCTGTGTCCAGGCCGTGCACGTGGCCGAGAGCCTATGGGTCTCCCTCCAGGCCTCCAGGGAAGGTGCTCTGAGAACGTCAGGGACCAAGTCAGAGAGTGGTCATGCTGACCTGGCACCTTGCTAAGATGAGACTTTAACACTTTGAAATAAGTCCTGTTGATTGCACTGACTGTTTATTGCCCTGTCCTGTTCATTGCACTGACATTAGGAGAGAGTTCTCTTTCTCTCTGGCCCTGTGTCCCCGGGCCCTCCCACCACATACGTCGGAGACCCCATCCTGAAGCTCTAATCCCGCTGCCCCTGTGTGTGCCTCGCTCTCTGGTCCCCACTTGCTCTCTGTCTGCTGAACCGTGTCCTTTGTGTATATCTCACGTGCCACCTCCATCATGAAGCAGTCTTGCTGCACAAGCCAGTTACCATCTTGTTCACTCGTTCCTGGTCGTCGGGTCTAGCTCTCTGTGCTTACAGTTTATCTTCTGGAGTCACTGCCACCAAATTCAGCGCCATTTCTAGCCACTTGTTTCTTACCTCCAATCTGTGTGTCTTTTCTAGGTTGTGAACATTATCCCACTTACTAAATGCCCACTGAGTGCTGTTAGCCATTAACAATTCCTCTAAAACATCTAAGGTTTCACAGACTCCTAATCTAAGTGTGGCGGAAAGAGTAGAAGGAAGAAAATTTAGATTGTGCAACAGCAGGATGCCGTCATTTGGGTCCTGCCCTCCGTTCTGCCTGCTGATCAGGGAGACGTGGGTGCTTCAAGTTGACCTGGCGCTCTTTGTTTTTCAGAAATGTTCTTCATCATTGGAGCGGTGGTGTTTGTGGTCATCATCCTTGTCATCATCCTGTTCCTTTCTATAAACAAGTGCAGAAAGGCCCGCATGGAGCGCGGTGGGAAGGAAAACTCGCCACTGCGTGCTGCATAAAGCTGCCGACACTACAGATGATGCATTGCACTGGGACCAAGAACCTTTATGAGAAGAGGGCACAAGGAAACACAAATGAGTATCTCGGAGCCTGAAGACCCTTGGGTCCTAGAAAGCTCTTGATCTGACCTGTTCCAGTTAGCATTTTGGTTTTGACATCAGCATTAGTCACTTTGAAATGTGGTGAATGGTACAGCCAATTACAGGTTTTTAAAATAGTAACACTACGGCACCTTTTACACGGCATGTTTAGATGACATCTTCTGCACCCAAGGAGAAACCAGGTCATCCAGGCAAAAAGGAACAACTGCCTTAAATAATCCTGGGTGGACATTTGAAGAATTTCTGAGAGGCTGACTTCAAATCGTGTAGGAAAGTAAAATGGAAAGGGAGTGGACTTTTCTCACATATGTGTCTGTAACATGCTATTGAGGATTTTATTGTTAGGGTACATTTGGAGGGTCCAAACAATAGGCAAACATTATATGAACGTGTTAAATGCAGGAGACTTTGGTATTTTGAGCACCTTCCTAATATGCTTTCCAGTTTAGCACTTTAACTGACCAGGTGGTATTGATTAAACTTTTGAGCGCTAACTATATTTTTGTAAGACCATACAAACAAACTACACAAAGTTTAAGATTTAAGGTACTTAAAGCTTCTATGGTTGACATGGATATGTTTATGTAGTTTTTAAAAAAGGTTTTATATATGGGGATTTTCTATTTATATAGGTAATATTATTCTATTTGTATATATGGAGATAATTTATTTAATATACTTTTATATAAATAAAGGTGATGGAATTTTTAGTATTGTATTTATTGTATCTTCCATTTATTATTTATGATTTGGTATTTGCATAAATAATAATAATAATACCAGAGTCAGCTCTGCTGTGGTAACAAATCACCCTAAGAACCTCAGCAACCTATATTTTTATTTTTCACTTATGTTACATTTTGGTGACTGCAGGTTGTCTGCAGTTCCTCCCACTGTCTTCTCATTCTAGGACCCAAACCATTGGAGAAGTCTCGATTTGGATCAGGTTAGAGGAAAAAGCGAGAGCTAGGAGAGACATCCACAGCTTCAAGCTTTAAGTTACCTCTTAAAATTTCTGCTCCATACTGGCCCATTGTCACTTTTGTTCACGTGCCACTGCTGCAAGCAGAAGACACCACAAGTCGCATGGCAGCAGATGGGAGGAAAATGGTACAGTCTGTTACAGACTTAGAGGAGGAGATTTTTTTCCCGTGGGCATTTGAGTTGTGGGTGAAGATTGGAGATAAGTAAAAAAGAAAAATTCTTTGTATTATTATGTTGAAAGAAAAAGATAATAAAGATAGGGAGAGAGATAAATGGATGGAGTCTCTGGAGTTAACTAAAAGCAAACTAGTCTGAGCATTCTTTGCAGGCAGGGACTGGTTGTGCTCGTGGCTTCAGCTCCATTAGAGGAACTGCACAGAAAACTTGCCGGCTGTGTCTGAGTTGAGTTGACTTTGTTTCCTTGAATAGTGAGCGCTCCACTCGAATGCTCAGAACAGTCTTGTCCTGTCACCTGTATTAAAAGAGGATTCCAACTAGAGATGAAATTGAGGTTCTTGGCACCTCCCTGGGCCATAAAACCGCTTCCTGCTGTGGAGGGCTGGGTGGTGGTTGTCGAGGAAAAACATCCGATGGCACACCTGCCTGCCGTGGGCCCACAAAGACAAGCAGGCAATCACAATGAGCAAAGACTTGGTTCACTATCCAGCCATTAATCCATGCTAAATCCATTTTGCTCCTTTGCTCCGAATAGCTTGAACATTGTCAAAACGTTAAACATGAAATGTTTGGTATAACACCACATCCTAAGGAAGAATAAGTGAAGCAAACCTTTGATGGCCCCGTAAAAATGGCAGCCATTTTGGAGAGATGATAGGAAGCAGACCAGAAGTTGATTTTTTCAGTTGGTGTTTGGTGGTGGTGGTTTTGCCGTAGTCAGTCTGTTTGGATGCTGGAGAGGCTCAGTCTTGCATGTTGTCGTGTTTTGTTGTATCAGAGAAAGTGGATGCATGTGCAGCACAATCAACAAAGGGGAAATAAGCATAGGCGCGTGTCCTCAGAAAAGGCGCTTTTGCCATTATTGGATTCCTGCTCTCATGGGGCTACTTGGGACAAAGAGCTCAGTGGTGACATGAGGGGCAGAACAGGCACAGGAGCGGGTGCCTGTCTGGACACTTCCCTGCCGGGAATAATTACAGCATTATGTAATCCATGGCCTCATAATCTAAGGAATTTGAATTATCCCACAAAGAAAATCTTGGCGGCTGAAAACAGGTTGGGGTACTAATAAGGTCTCTGGCTGCTTGAGGGGAAGCCAGTCATGACAGACCTGAGGAAGGCCTTGTCAGAGGTGGGACAGCTTTCCCTTGAAGGGCAGCCTCTCCCCAGGTTGCCACGCTCTCCTTATTGCGGAGACGTCACAGCTGCTGCTGAAGTCAACACCGTCGCTGGCCTTGGAGCAGAACCTGCACTACAAGCTGCTGGCCAGTGTCTAGAATCTACTCTCCTCCCGTGAGCCAAATTATGCTTCTTTATGGCCATCGTGTGCCCCATAAAGCGAACTGTTAGGAAGCCAAACTTGTGTGCTTTGAAGAGACATTTTTACTATCTTAAATTATTAACTGAAATTGACTTTCACGTAAGAGATGAATACTCATGAACTCTTAAGGGCATGTCATCTTAGTTAGAGCCGGTGGCCTATGCTCTAAGAAGCAACGACCATCGAGTAGTAAGCCACCTCATTCCTAGATGCTCCCTGTGCCTGTTCCAGGGTGTGTATTTAACACCGGCCCTTTCCCCTGCAATTTTCCAGGTACTACTGTCACGACATGATTCGCTTGGGTGCTAACAACGTGTGCACACACTCGCCCTCCCTGACACCCTTGCTTTCAGTGGGGATCAGGTGGTCCCAGCTTTGCCAGCCAGCATGCTTCTTCATGGCTGGGTTGGGATGGGTATGTAACCTAGCCAAGACTAAAGGGTGACTCCCAGGGCTGTTTCTGGGAATGGCTGGATGCTCCCTTTCCTAATGAACGCAATGAAGAGACATGTAGTCAAAAGAGCTGCTGGCAGTCATCCTGAGACACAGAGGAAGTGAGTCTTCTATGCAGCTGACATACCAGAGAGCAGTACAGGTTGATGGACAAAGTGAAATCTCTGGTGACAGCACCAAGCGACTAGATCAAATCATGCCTGAAGACTTTTCACTGGCCATAACCTGACTGCCTAACCAAGCTTAATCAGGTTTTCTGTTACTTGCAGTCAAAAGCCTCCTGACTGATGCTGTATAAACATTGACAACAGGGGATAAGGAGAATAAACATCAAGGCAGAAGATGCCTGTAATGTCAACTGGTACTAAAAAACCCTTATGCAAAATAACACTCCATTTTTATGCTTTCTCAACTACCTCATTACCTTGCCCCTAAAATGAGCCCTTTTATGATTTGATCACTCCAATCAGAATGTAAACATTCTGTGTTATGTTCTATCTTTTTTTTTATTCAGAGTCTCACTCTGCTGCCCAGGCGGGAGTGCAGAGGCACACTCATGGCCACTGCAGCATCGACCTGCTGGGCTCAGATGATCCTTCTACCTTAGCCTTGCAAGTAGCTGGAACTACAGGCACATGCCACCACGCCCGGCTAACATTTTGATTTATTGTAGAGATGAGGTCTCGCTCATTTGCCCAGGCTGGTCTCGACCCCACGGGCTCAGGTAATCCTCTCACCTCGGCTTCCCAAAGTGCTGAGAGTATAAGCGTGAGCCACCACACCCGGCCATTAACTTCTGTCTTAAATAACAATCTTTCTTAGACCCACAGAAGCCCTCCTCTGGGTGTTCTCACCTCCCATTCCTTGTTGGGCAGCTTTCTCTTCATTCTGATTTCTAATGTTGAATTGCCTTAGTGCTCAGACCCACATCTATCAATAATCACCCTCCAAACAAAATGTCCCAGGCTATGGCTCTGTTATCTCGCTCCTCATGCTACACTCCTGGAACATCTGTATGTGGATGACTCCTAAACCCACCCCGCAGCTCCAGTCCCTTCCTAAACTCCAGAGTGGCACCGTGATCAACTACTTACACCCTGACCTACACTATCCAGCAGGCGCCTCAATCTCAACGAGTCCAAAGAGGATCTTCCATTTCTCCCAGCGCCCAAACCCATTTCTCTCCGTCTTTCCCCTTTCAAGAAATGGCACCCCCATCGGCTCAGGCCCAAACCTGTGAGTGCCACCTCACAACACATCCACTCCCCAATGTCGCACATCCCCCTCTCCCTGCTGCTTAGGTTGCCCCTATCACATGGCAGTGGCCGCCCCCAGGCCTGCCTTCCTGTTTGCACAGTTGGTCCTATGGTCCATTTTCCTCACAGCAATCAGCGTAATCCTTTTAAAAATAATAGATTATGTTTTTATGGGTACTGCTCTCATCTCTCCAAGAGGGTTCTGTGGGCAGCGGAGTGTTGTAGTGGAAACACAATAATCTGGAATTACTTTTTCCAGAATCCTCTTCCCCATATGGGTCTAGATTACAGTTAACCAGAAGAGAAGTCTGCACAAGATTTGGATGGAAGTGAGGCTGCAGCGTCAGCGTGGTCTGGGGCAGTGAGAGACAAAGGCAGAGATGCTGGTGGACTCCAACCTGTCCTGGCCCTCCCTCACTCTGTGACTAACTTTTCTGCCCGATTTCTAACCCTGCTGGCCAGTAGTCACCCCGGCCCTAGACTGGATGCTAGTAGACCGTCTTCCATAGGCCCTTCTACAAGGAGGAATGACCATATTCTTCTGGGGGTATTCACAAAGGCTTCAAGGAAGAGGTGACTGTGAGCTGATGCTGATCCTTCCTCTGATGGTGTCCCCGGCTTCTGGAGCAGAGCACACAATTCCTTGGGGGCGGCCCTGGGGGCATGAGGACCCACAGCACAGGCCAGTCTGGGCCCCAGGAGCCTCCCTCCCAGCCCCTCACGGTTAGGTCCTCCCTCCCTACTCCAGAGCCTTCAGGACTTTCACGCACAGGCCTTCACAGCACTACGCAGGGGCTGGAGCCCAAGCACACATCACTATACTGCCCCTGGCTTGCTAATACTTGATTTAAGTTTTTTTGTTTTTTTTTTTTAGTTGGAGTCTCACTCAGTCACCCAGACTGGAGTGCAGTGGCCGCTCCCGGCCACCGCAGCCTCGACCTGCTGGGCTCCGGCGATCCTTTCGCCTCAGCCTTCCGAGTAGCTGGAACTACAGGCGCGCGCTACCACGCCCGGCTGATTTTTGGATTTATTGTAGAGATGAGGTCTCACCAAGTTTCCCAGGTGGGTCTCGAACCCACGGGCTCAGGCAATCCACTCACCTCCGCCTCCCAAAGGTGCGGGATTATAGGCTGAGCCACCGAACCCGGCTTGATTTAAGTTTTAGCTCAGACTTCCTTTCTACCAGACAACCAAAGCCATCCCGAGCAATCTGGTGATGCCTCCAGACATCCCCCTGTCCCCAGGGTTGGTCCGAGTCCACACCCACTGCTGTTGCTGCCTTCTGGAGCCCTCCACGTCCCTTGAACCTCACGTCCAGCCTGAGAGGCCTCAGATAGTCTGAGGGTGGTGGGCTGGGTGGAGAAATCTGGCTCTTTCTTACTGCTGTGTTCTAAGTCTGTGGACTGTGCACTAGTGTCTTGCTTGAACCAGAGGAGACTCCACTAGTCTCCGCTTTCAGCTGCCACAACCATTGCCAAGAAAATGATGATGGAATTGCTGAGCTGACTGAATAGGGAGAAGGGTCAA